TTTCCTCAGCACTTGTGCCAGAACCAACTGTATTACAGGCCATCTAATTGAGACTTGGCAGGAGACAGCTCAGATCAAAGGCAACCCAAGCCCAGATCTCGGATCCCAGGCCAGTGGGCACTTAGCACGTCTCAGAAGCAAAGCATCCCGTCCGCTTTCCAGCAGTTCATGCCAACGCTGCTGCCTCAGCATCCCCACTGGCTGATCCATGGGCTGCTCCTCCATCGGTTCCAGAAGGAGCCACTTGTGAGCTATTAAAGACAGCAATGAAGTGCTGTGGCGACAGCAGTGATTCAGGGAAAGATGGAGGAACCATCCGGGAAGGCATTCTCCTTTTCTACCGCACTGAGTCTGTGAGCAGGAGTGTTGAGCCAACCAGACATAGGCAGGGAAGGCCCTGGTGGGACTGGGGCTGGGTGGGGGAGAGGAGGTGTGTGACGAATTCCTTCAGGGGAAGGAGAATAAAAAGAACATTTAATAAATTCGCAGGCAATAGACTTCAACCATGCTCTCAGATGTTTGCGAATTCAAGAATCCTGTTCCCGGGAACCAGCAGTTAGCGTAATGGCTATGTCGCTGGACTCCCACGTAGTCAACCGCGGTTCGCGTCCCGGACCCGGTGGCTTAAAACTCACGCCGGGCACGTGTGCGTGCGTGCCCAAGATCCCGAGAGGAGAATGGAGGAGAAGGGATTGCGGCGTGACCATCCCCCCTGGGGGGTGATTTCTTGCTTTCTGTCTCTATGTCTCTCTCTGTCTGTCTGGCGAGCGCACGCGCCCTATAGCGAAAAATCTCTCTCAAAAAAAAAAAAAAAAAGAATCCTGTTCCCCACAAAGAATGAAAAGAAGGGTCAGTTACCAATTTAGTAGTAAGAAAACAGTCATTTGATAGAAGTGCACAATCACCCAGAGGATGCTTTATGGATTAAATGCATTAAGTAGTTCAGTATGGGTTCATTTCATCCATTCTATGAAAGTCAAGCTTCTTATCGATGCCGAGCAGCCCTAACCGTCGGCCCCTCTCCCTCCAACTCCTTCGGTTGGAAAGCATGAAGCGGTTACACCTGTCTGAAATCATGAACAAATGTGAGTTGGACTGGTTGGGTGAACCCTCAAGAATGAGACATGTCAGAGCTGGCTTTGTGTGGTCAGGAGGCGTGTGCTATCCACAGGTGGAAGTGAGAGGAAATGAGAGAGACACGGTCTGCCCAGGGCTGAGCAGGAAGTCGAGAGCTAAGGGACAGATTATCGTTAGGCATCAGTTTACCAGCAATGGGCTAGTTGACTCTGAGGGAAAAACCTGATGACCCACACATATTTCAAACCTACTTCAGAGAAGGGATTCATCTCTTTCCCCTTGTGCTCTCCATGGAAACAGAACACAAGCAAACTTCTCCAAACTCCTTTTCTAACGGGACTGGTTATCTCAGCACCTAGGCAGAAGTTTACTCTTTGTTTCTTCCGAAGAGTTTTGTAGTTTAATAGGTTTATGAGTCGTTCATTCTGAGTTAATTCTTGTGCACAGTGTGAGATGGGTCAGATTATTGTTTTGCATGTGGCTATCTGGTTATCTCAGAACTATTTCTTAAAAAAATTTTTCCATCACCATTGAATTATCTTAGAACTTCGTTAAAAATCAATGAACTTTAAATTTAAAAGTTTGTTTCCCTGGATTCTCAATTTGGTTACACTTATCAATTGGGCTATTAGAAAAGTCATGATGCATTTTTACATAAAATGTATTTTTCTATGTAAAATGGCATCATCACTTTTTTTTTTTTGAGGTTTTTGCTATAGGGCACGTGTGCTTGCCAGATAGAGACAGAGAGACAGAAAGTGAGAAATCACCCCCCCCATGGGGGATGACCATGCCACAATCCCTCCTCCTTTTTTTGTTTGTTTATTTGTTTTGAGAGAGAGATTTTTGCTATAGGGCGTGTATATTTGCCAGAGAGAGACAGAGACAGAAATGAGAAATCGTACCCCCTCCCCCTTCATGGGGGATGACCATGCCACAATCCCTCCTCCTCTATTCTCCTCTCAGGATCTTGGGCACACACGTGCAAGCACCCAGTGTGAGTTTAAGCCACTGGATCGGGACTCAAACAACGGTCAACTACATGGGAGTTCAGCGATATAGCCATTGTGCTAATTGCTGGTCCTGGCATCAAGACTTTTCTAACAGCCAAATATATGCTTATTCTCATGCCAGTATCAAATTATTTTTGTTATTGTAACTTGTAGTTAGTTTTGAAGTGGCAAAGTGTGAGCTCTCCAACTTTGTTGTACTTTTTCAAGTTTATTTTGACTAATCGGGGTCTGTTATATTTCCATATGAATTTTAGAATTGTCTTGTCAATTTCTGTAGGAAAAAAAACCAACTCGAAGTTTTATTCATATTTTTTAAATCTATAAATCAATTTTGGAAGAGCTGCCATTTTAATAATATTGAGTTTTCCAACATATGAACGTACAATTTCTCTCCACTTACTTAGATATTTCTTAATTCCTTTCAACAACACTTTGTATTTTTAAAAATTATTTTATTTAAATTTATTTATTTTAATTTGACCAGAGAGAGAGTGAAAGTGAGAAAGCAAGCTGCCAGGTTTGTGATTTGAACCGTGGTTGGCCATGTAGGAGTCCAGTGCTCTTAACCACCATGCCAGCTGCTGGCCCCAATATTTTGCATTTTAAAAAAAATTAATAGATGTTAATTTCTATAGTTTTAGGTTGACAGAAAAGTTGAGTAGAAAATCCAGTTCCTCTATATCACTGTACCTCTTGTCTGCTGATTGTGTCCTCTACTAACGTCTTGTGTTAGTTACAATTAATGGAGCAACATTGAGTAATTATTATCAACTAAAGTCCATAGTTCACATTAGTATTCATTATTTGAGTTGGAAAGTTTTATGGGTTTTGAGAAATGTTATTACAGAGTTTGATCTTGTAGTGGTGAATACATGATATCACGTTTATCATGTATCCACTGTCATGGTATTATATAATACTATAATATAATACTAGGATAGTTCACTGCCCTAAAAACCCTTTGTGCTCCACCCATTCATTCCTCCTTATTGTCACCCTCAGTCTCCTGACAACCACATTTATTAGGTTGTCTGGAAAGTCATGATGTATTTTTCTATGTTTTTCCTGACAACCTAATATTTTCACTTTTACTTTTACTGGAATACGATGCTTGTGTAGTTGAGATTATATATCATTTAGTCTTTTCTAATTGGTTTATTCCATATAACAATAAGCATGGAATGTTCTTTTACGTCTTTTCTTGGCTTGATTATTTCTCTTTATCACTGAAAAGTACTAAGTGTTATAGATATACCACAGGTTATCCATTTACTTATTGAAGGACATCTTGGTTGCTTCTAGATTTTTGGCAATTCTGTATAAGGTGTTATGAATATTTATGTGTAGGTTTTTATGTGGATATCAGTTTTCAACTCATTTGGGTAAGTATATCTAGAAGCGTGATTGCTAGATTATGTGGTAAGCCTATGTTTAGCTTTGTAAGAAGTTGTCAGGCAACTTTCAAAAGTGGTTGAACCATTTTGCATGCTCACTCGCAATAAATTCGAGTTCCTGGTGTTCCAAATCCTTGTCAGCTTTGGTATTGCTAGTGTTTTGGATTTTAGCCATCTAATAAGGTATACATTATATCTCATTTTAATTTGCAATTTTCTAATGGCATGATGTTGAGCATCTTTTCATATATTTATTTGCAATCTGTATATCTTCTTTTGTGTTGTTTGGATCTTCTGCACATTTTAAAATTGGATTGATTTCTTATTATTTATTTTAAGAGTTATTTGTATGTTATGGAAACAAATTCTTTGTAACATATATGTTTTGCAAATATTTTCTCCCAGTGTCTTTCATGGAATATGAACATGGACTTTCTCTCCAAGTATTTATTCTTTTTCCACTTCAGCGATATTTTACACCTTTCAGTGCAACAGTCTTGCACTTACTTGTTAAATTTATCTCTAAATGTTTTATACATTCTGATATAATTTTGAATTGGATTGTTTTCTTAATATTAATGCTGGAGGGACCAGCAGTTAGCGTAATGGCTATGTCTCTGGACTCCCACGTAGTCGGCCGCGGTTCGCGTCCCGGACCTGGTGGCTTAAAACTCACACTGGGCGTGTGCGTGCGCGTGCGCGTGCGCAGGAATGGAGGAGAAGGGATTGCAGTGTGGCCATCCCCCCTGGAGGATGATTTCTTACTTTCTGTATCTCTGTCTCTCTGTCTGGTGAGCACATGCGCCCTATAGCAAAAATCTCTAAAAAATTAATGCTGGATATTTTTATTGTTGAAAATGAAATATGACCTATTTTAAATAAACTTATTATTTTTATAGCTTTTTAAATGGATTCCTTAGGATTTTCTACCAATAATTAATGTTGTTTTGAGTGAAGACAGTTTTGCTTCTTTTCCAGTATGGATGTCTTTTCTTTCTTTTTCTTGCCTGGTTGCACAGATTGGAACTTCAGTACAATGTTGAAAAGTAGTGATGGGGGGGGCATCCTTGTAATTTTCTCTGTTTTATGGGGAAAGTATCCAGTCTTTCATGCTTAAATGTGATACTTGCTGTAGATTTCTCATAAATACCCTTTATCAGGTGAATTAGTTTTCTTTTGTTTTTAGTTTGTTGAGTTTTTATCATGAATGTATCTAATCTTTTTGGCTTTTGTGCTTGGATGTGAGTCATTTTGTCACCAACAGATGAGAAGGCAGAAGTTAGAGAACTAAAGGGACTTTAAGAGCCCTTCCTGAGGCTCACACTACTTCTCAGCATCTAGTTGTGTGAGCCAGAAAGTGTTCTTATTACTGAAGGCTCATTGAGCTGGCATTTTTTAACATTTAACAGAAAACCTTCTTACTGATAATACCTCTTTTTCCACGCAGTCATCTCCAATTCGACAAGTAGATGTGCTATGTCCTAACTTACCATAGTGCATGTTTCATTGCACTATAGCTTCATTTCGTTGGCTGCTCTGTTTGATCCTTTGTCTGTGTCTTGCTTCCTCTACCAGCTCCTTGGAACAGGGTATTTGCTGCATCTGTGTCTGCTCCTCAGTATTTGCAAAGAGTAGATATCTAGGTCTTCTATACCCTAATGCAAAAATATTTGAGTAATTGCTACTGAAACTCAATTAGATACTTTCATTCTTCCTTTAGGAAGAATCACCCCCACCCCCCAAACCTTGGAACTATATGATCAATGAAGCCATTGAGGAATCCATTGATTGGAGTACAGTGGAAGGACCTAGACGATTCTTTCCTTAGGAATGCCCTTTCCTCCCATTCCCAAGTTCTGTCCTCTGTGAGGCAAGATTGATAACTACAGACTCTGTTTTACAATGAAGCCTATTGAGACCACCACCCTTGACCAAATTCACAGGACTAGTTGGGGCAGGGCTGGAAATTTAGGGCCAGTGTTCATTTGTGTCTGGAAATCATTTCCTTGTGGTTGTAACTCCACTCATAAACCCATGATACCACCCTTAGTATGATTCTCGACTTCTAGAATATAGTTATAGTGTCTGGTAGAGTCTTGAGAACCTTAGAGACAATATTATATAATTCTTAGTTTTATAGGTAAGCTCACTGAAACAAAGAAGGGCGAAGTGGCTATTCTTTAGAAGTTATACTCATGGGACGGGGTCTTAGTCTTGGTTGAGGTAGTTGATATACACTGACTTAGGGAATTTAGTTTCTCCTTGGAAGTAAAGAGGAGCTTGGGAAAGGACATTTCCTTTATGTATGCCTAAAGAGACCATTTAGCTGTGTTTCTTAGCTACCGAAGAGATTTCTGGAAAGAAAGAACCTGTACTGAGAGCTGTATTCTGCCCTACCACTTCTGAGCCTTTGGAATGAGATTATCTTTCTGCTCTCCATATTTCAGTAAACTGAAAAAATTGATATCTAAATATCAAGCAGAAATGCCTTCCCTTCTGAACTAAAAAATTCAGGGAAGAGGACTTGGCACTACCAGCAGCCAGTTATTTGACTGCTAATCAAGCCATTTCTTCTGAGCGAGGTGATGCTCCCCAGGCTCCCACCACCTTCCCTGAGAGTTTCGGCACTGGGCCTTCAGGGAGATCTTGGGGCTCATTCTTTCTGAGAGGAACAGCTGATTTTGGCCCTGGAGGTTAAGTGTGAATGGAAAACAACTGGCAAAGGGAAAGAAACCAGTTTTAGTTTGTTTTCTGAGGCTATAACATAGTTGGTAATTTATACAGTTTATTTGGCTCATGGTTTTGGAGGCTGGGAAGTCCAAGAATTTGGTGCTGGCATCTGGCAAGGATCATTCCATGGTGGACCAGCTAATGGTAGGGGCTCATACTGGACAGAGAAAGCACAAAGGTCAGACTTCCTTTTATAACAACCTGCTCACACAATAAAAAAACATGATTAATAATAATAATCCCTTCATAAGGACTCTGCACATCTGGCCCAATCACCTGTTACTATTCTCTATCTCTTAACACGTTTGCACTAGGGATTAAAATTCCAACACATGAATTTGATGGAATACATTCAAACCATAGCAGAAACCAAGGAGAATTGGGGAAGGAGGTCTCTGTGGCATCTCATACACAGTAGGTGTACAAAATAATATTTGTTGAAGAGATACATGAGTAGGAGTGTCCACCTAGGGTGTACACTCCTCATAGAAGAGGCCCATGGGTAAAATAAGGTTTCTGGGGACCAGTGAGATAAATTAGTAATGAGGGCAGTCATCAAAAAGAGGAATGATAAGTCCCTAGGAAGGATGGTAATGGAGAATGAAAAGGTGCTGACGGTTCAAAGACAGTTTTGGGAAAAGATCCCGTAGAACTTGCAGCTGACCTGCTGGAGTGCATATGGGGCTGGGGGGTATAACCCCTTAGAATAAATGAAGTTCCATACTCTGGGGTTTGGACACAGGAGTCTGCTTGGTGAGTGGATGCTGTTTATTGAAAGCTTAGGCTCTTTCTTATAGGATAGGAATATATTTTAGGATGATGTCGTGGATGAAAGTGGGAAAAAAAAATCCTATTCCTTGGTTCTTAAAATATGAAAGCTTGATAAAGAAGATTTGGCAAGGGTCTTAAAACTGATCTAGGAGTTGGTCAAGATAAAAACGGAAACTTAAAAAAACATTTATAGAATTCCAGCTGTAAATGTTAGGTCCCTGGGGACTCTCAGGTATCACATGGAGACCAGCCTCTTTCCTACTTTTCCCTGGCAGGGAGGGACACAGAAATAAGGAACACAGCATTGAAGGTAACATGGCCGTGATTAGCCTGGCTGTGGGGGTGTGTTCCTGGGGCTCAGAGACCAAGTAATAGCCAGAAATGCTGGGTATGTCCCCAGAGCTGCCAGGGAGGAGAGGGCAGGCTAGCATGAGGGGATAAAGAGGAACTTGGAACCTTTCTCTTGGATCTTTATCATGCTTCACTGATGAGGCTAGAGGGAGTTTCTGATTTCAGACCCTAGTCAGGCCCTAGGGAGCCTCTGATTTCACCCTTTGTTTTCCTGCTTCCTGAAGAAGGCAAGTTTGCCTGGGTCTGCAGGGGTCAGGGGCCAGGGGCTCTAATTACTTTCATTCCCTGAGTTGCTGGGAAGGGTCTTGGGAACGTGATAGAAGGCCTGCCTGTCGCTCATTTGTGTTACTGTTGGTGAAGCTATAGCTGATTTCAAACAACAGCGGAGAAGAAGTCTGTGGGTGTGATGTAACCCAGATCTTGTGCACGATGAAGGTTGGTTTATAGGTTTGGAAAATGAACGTTGGGCGAAAGACATTCTAATAACCTTTAAATTGACCTGAGGATTGAACTAGAAAACAAAACTGAACTAAATGAAAAGGAAGATAGCCATGAGGAAAAGCAGTAAAGGAAAGGAATTAGCCAGTTGTGCTATGGTGGAGTAGTGTAGATCCCAGGTCCTTGGTTAGGCTCTTGAAGAAAGACCTGGTGCCTTATTGCCTAAACACCATGCCCAGCACAGTTTTAATCCAAATCAATTTGTTAGAAATACCTTTTGTCATTCAATCACTTGTGTTTTCAAGGCCAAGTTACTGTCAATGATTTGACTGATATGTTCTCTGCTTTGGAAATTTTTTTTTATTGATGATTCTAAACATTTGTGTTGAGCCTGAGTGATTCTAGGCAATGTTAAATAATTTTTACTTTAAAGGATAACAGTTATTAAGTGCTTAGTATGTGCCAGGTATTAAGGATGAGCACAGGCTCATTGATTTGTCATACAACTCTATAAGGTATTTGACATTATTGCTTCTGTTTCACAGATGAGGCAAATGAGGCAGAGAGGTTAAGTAACTTCCCAATGGTGGGAACCAGCAGTTAGCGTAATGGCTGGGGGCA